TGTGGAAAGCAATATGGAGATACCTTAAAGTGATCCAAGTGAATCTACCATTTGATCCAGCAATCCCATTGCTGGGCATCTACCCAAAAGATCCAATGACACTCTACAAAAAAGACACCTGCACTCGAATGTTTATAGCAGCACAATTCATAATTGCAAGGCTGTGGAAACAGCCCAAGTGCCCATCAATCCAAGAATGGATTAATAAAATGTGGTATATGTATACCATGGAGTACTATTCAGCTCTAAGAAACAACGGTGAAATGCACATCTTATATTTTCCTGGTTAGGGCTGGAACCCATACTATTAAGTGAAGTATCCCAAGAATGGAAAAACAAGCACCAGATATACTCACCAGCAAATTGGTATTAACTGAGCGGCACCTAAGTGGACACATAGGTACTACAGTAATAGGGTATTGGGCAGGTGGGAGGGGGCAGGGGGGCCGGGTATATAAATATATAATGAGTGAGATGTGCACCATCTGGGGGATGGTCATGCAGGAGACTCAGACTTGTGGGGGGAGGAGGGAAATTAGCATTTATTCAAACCTTAAAGTCTGCACCCCCATAATATGCAGAAAAAATAAATAAATAAAAGTGTATGTAAGATATACATTAAAACACATAGACTAATTCAGCAGAGAAGGAGGAGATGGTAAAAGATATCTCTCTGACCCTCATTTTTTGCTACGAAAATCCAGGGAGAACCACACTCCCTGGGCGGCTCCTCATGCCCCTGCTCCCCAGGCTCCTGCGTGCTGTGGCTCACCCTCTCTGTCTCAAGTCTCTATCCCTGACCGTGAGCACAGTCATCCGGGGCAGGGGAGGACACGTCACACAGGCTCAGAGGCTCAGACCCCAGACCCCCTGCGCTAAGCGCTCTCCGGACAGCCCTTCATCGCACTGGGACCCATGCTATACTCCTGCTCCGGCTGCTGCCAGGAGGCTAGATGGCCTCGTAGCTGGAGGCAAACTCACATGTTTACTTCAAAATGGCTTCAAAATAAATGTGTCTTTACTGAAAACTCCCAACGAGGTCTCAGGGAGTTGTTTACATTTCATACACCCAAG